ACTTGGGATTATATATTTGCCTCTTTCGTCTTCATTTGATGGATAAGACTGTGTGTTAGGGTTTTCGTTCTCTGCTATTTCATATACTCTTTAGTTCTAGTGTTCAATCAATGTAATCTTTAGTGAATACTTAGTGTATAAAGTGTAAGATTGAGATGAGTTTACTGTTGTGGTTATTGTGTTCAGTCGTTGATCTCTAATTTCATCATACATTCTGCAATGATTCTTAGTTGATTCTAGTGAATGTAGAGCTATATCTACTTGTAGATGCTCAACGTGGAGATTAGGCCAACGGCTAAACATTCAGGCCTTTAGGGGTAAAAACAATTCTCTATGTTCTTGGATCCTTCGATTTCTGCAATTTACTTTCTTGCAACCTTTTTGGTTTAAACTAGGGTATTACAAACGGTTTGGGAGCAACAATGGCTTAGTGTCGACTAATAGAATTTCTAGAGATCATAACTTTATATTCATATGATATAATATTGTATATCTAAAAATCAATAGTAACAATGTTCTTGTGTTTGTGTTTTGTATGTGTTCACATTTCACCTTCATGAGATCTTTGATGAGCTAATATGAGTTAAAGCATTGGCTTATTCTTCAAGAATTTTGTAGCTTCGAGTGTTTGTGGCTAAAATATTTAAAATCCACTTTTTATTCGCCAAATATTGATTGACAATTTTACAATATAAAGTTTCAACCTTTTTATTTTAAATCTTTTACTGCATATATTTTTTGAAAGTTTATTTTCTATATCTCATCATTGATGCTTATTTAAGTTAAATTTAATGCGATTTTATTAATTTTATTTAAATTATTGCAAAACCATAGTGTTGGTAGTACTATTTTTTAGAATTCTAGATCACATATATTAATTCGGGAAAACCCTCACAAAAGTTCAAAATTTAAATGCATGCTAAAATTTAAACCCTGACAAGATTTGAAGGTTAGGGACTATTTTCGTTGAAACCCTATAAGTTAGAGACCGTTGTGCCAATTCCCTTTAGATTTCTACTCACGTCTAAAATTCTCAGATTCATCACTAATCACGTCTCTCTTTTTTAATCATAATCAATTCAATTTTATCCAATTTGTTAACCAATAAGTAGGGGTGTCAACAAATCGAGTCGAGCCGAAACTCGGAATTCGGGCTCTACTCGAGTAGAAATGTTCGGAATTTTTTTTTTTCTGAGCCGAGCGCTCGGCCAAAAAATTTAAGCTCGACCCGAACTTTCGACTCGGGCCTTTATGAGTCGAGCTCGACCCGAGCTGAGCCGGCTCAATTTTTTTATTTTTTATTTTTTTATAATAATTCGTCTGCTGCTTTTGTCTGCGAGCTGCTAATTACAACTGTAATTATTTATTTTTTTTTTTAACATTTTTTCTCTAAAACTTGGTTCGGCTCGTCACGGGTCGAAAATGGCCCGTGTGGCTCGACGCCGGCTTAGGCTCGAGCTTTTCCCGAGCCAGCAAGCCACATGGTCATTCCTACCAATAAGCTTTATTTCTCATTGGGTGGAAGCCATGACTACATGTAATATAAATATAAGAGAAATAGTGAAGAATTAACTTCAAAAAATTGAATAGTTTGAAGTCGAGCTCCTTAATAGTCAAGGTCCATTATTGCTAACTCTGATGTATTGATGTGCAAGCGAGTGAATTTATTTCAATTTAATTTGATCTAGGGAAAAAAAAATACGTTCCTCGCTACACGGATTCAACTTAGTCACTATCTCTAGCCGTGAATCAAAGATTCCACCTGACGAGCTGACCTAGGAGGTAATTTTCATCACCAGTCTCAAACCAAAGGGTGCAGGTTAGACGCCTCAATTGTTCTTTGTGAAGTTTGGAATATGTCTGGTGCAGATCTACGCCAAATTGCACTTCCTCTATATAATATCAGTGTTCTAGTAGGCTTGAGTGCCTAGACGAGGCATTTCAAAACACTTCAAATATGACCAAGGCATTGAAAAAGACGATCAACTTATCAGTTCATTGTAATGCGGGCCTAGATGCCAAAATGAGTGAGCCTTTTTTTAATAATTTTTTTGGAACATTTCTTATACCTCATAGCTAATGTATGTCTGGGCATTGAATTAGTGTGGTTGATTTCCATTTACCTAAAAAAAAAAGTATTGTACTTTCAATTTCCAGTTGTCTATTGAAAACGGTCTAATCATAGGAATTATTAAGTAATATAGTATTTATGATTTTAAATATTCAGTATACAATATTTGATTTATTTAATTGTCATAGAATAATTATAACGTGAGAAACAAGAAAACAATTTTTACACATACCTAGACTTTTAAGACTTGGGGCTCGATCTCATCGACTTGCCCCGTCTTATGCCTTTTAGAACGATGTATACCATTGTAGGAAATATTTGAAGGAAAAAGTCTTTCTTTATTTCACCACTTCGAAATATGTAGAAATAAACAAAGAAATGAAAAACATAATATATTGGGTATAAATTTCATTACATTTTAACAATTTCCTTCTATTAGTTTTCAATAAGTAATCAAATAAACAATGTATCCAAATCCAACTAAAATTTAAGACATCAATGTCATGTATTAAAAATATTTCAATATCTATTTTTTTTTTTTTTTTTTTACCAAATTATCTTGACGGAATTTGTATCAGCCATCTCCATATAAGCAAAATAGAAAATGTTTAAAAAAATTCATCTCGACTGCAAGCTAATAAGAACTTTGTGAAGATGATGTAGCAGAGAAAAATTAGATATTTTCTAGAGCTCCATCTGAATTTAGAAGAATCATTAGACACGCTAGCAAAATTTATACATTATATACAAGTTTAAATGTGATTTTTTTTAATACTTTACGAAAATAAAGGATGCACAGATAGCAATTTGTAGAATGCATTAGAAATTAAATTTGAGCTTGTTAGACATAAATGTCATGTAGAATGAAAATCTTCAATATATTTTTTCTCTACTAAATTGTCTTAACGGAATCTCTATCAGCTTACATTGAAAGTGAAATTTTTGGTTGTCTTCTACTTTGCTTATATGACACAATTTTTAAGCGCTCTTATAAAATATTGGTTGGTATTCGTGGTCTTTTTTTTGTGTCATGTTTTTTTAGTTTTTTGTTTCCACTTATATTATTTCATTTATTTAATTAAAATAAGGGCATTTAGTCTTTTATAAAAATTAAAAAAAAAAATTGACATTTTTAACGGTTAATTGGATGGAAATCATCCAAAAGGACTAATTCCATATATTAAGTAGAAGGTTGGGGATGTTTGCGACAAGATTTGAAGGTTAGGGACTATTTTCGTTGAAACCCCATAAGTTAGAGATCGTTGTGCCAATTCCCTTTAGATTTCTACTCACGTCTAAAATTCCCAGATCCATCACTGATCACGTCTCTCTTTTTTAATCATAATAAATTCAATTTTATCCAATTTGTTAACCAATAACTAGGGGTGTCAACAAACCGAGTCGAGCCGAAACTCGGAATTTGGGCTCGCCTCGAGTAAAAATGTTTGGAATTTTTTTTTTTTTTTTTTTTGCCCGAGCCGAGCGGTCGGCCAAAAAATTTAAGCTCGACTCGGGCCTTTATGAGTCGAGCTCGGCCCGAGCTGAGCCAGCTCAATTTTTTATTTATTTTATTTTTTTATAATAATTTGTCTGCTGCTTTTGCCTGTGAGCTACCAATTACAACTGTAATTATTTATTTATTTTTAAACTTTTTTCTCTAAAACTTGGTTCGGCTCGTCACAGGTCGAAAATGACCTGTGTGGCTCGAAGCTGGCTCATGCTCGAGCTCTTCCTGAGCCAGCAAGCCACATGGTCATTCCTACCAATAAGCTTTATTTCTCATTGTGTCAAAGACGTGACTACATGTAATATAAATATAAGAGAAATAGTGAAGAATTAACTTCAAAAAATTGAATAGTTTGAAGTCGAGCTCCTTAATAGTCAAGGTCCATTATTGCTAACTCCGATGTATTGATGTGCAAGCGAATGAATTTATTTCAATTTAATATGATGTAGGGAAAAAAAAACAACGTTCCTTGCTGCACGGATTCAACTTAGTCACTATCTCTAGCTGTGAATCAAAGATTCCTCCTGACGAGCTGACCTAGGAGGTAATTTTCATCCCCAGTCTCAAACCAAAGGGTGCAGGTCAGACGCCTCAATTGTTCTTTGCGCAGTTTGGAATATATGTGGTGCAGATCTACGCCAAATTGCACTTCCTCTATATAATATCAGTGTTCGAGAAGGCTTGAGCGCCTAGACAAGGCATTTCAAAACACTTCAAATATGACCAAGGCATTGAAAAAGACGATCAACTTATAAGTTGATTGTAATGCGGGCCTAGATGCCAAAAAGAGTGAGCCTTTTTTTAATAACTTCTAATTTTTTGGAACATTTCTTAGATCTCTTAGCTAATGTATGTCTGGGCATTGAATTAGTGTGGTTGATTTCCATTTACCTTAAAAAAAAGGTATTGTACTTTCAATTTCCAGTTGTCTATTGAAAACTGTCTAATCATAGGAATTATTAAGTAATATAGTATTTATGATTTTAAGTATTCATTATACAATATTTGATTTATTTAATTGTCACAGAATAATTATAACGCGAGAAACAAGAAAACACTTTTTACACATACCTAGACTTTTAAGACTTGGGGCTTGATCTCATCGACTTGCCCCGCCTTACGCCTTTTAGAACAATGTATAATACCATAGTAGGAAATTTTTGAAGGAAGAAGTCTTTCTTTATTTCACCACTTCAAAATATGTAGAAATAAACAAAGAAATGAAAAACATAATATATTGGGTATAAATTTCATTACATTTTAACAATTTCCTTCTATTAGTTTTCAATAAGTAAAGTTTATTTGTTACATAGGTTTAGGTATCCAATATAGGTAAGTTTCTTCAACTGGTGCACGATCGACTTTGCACGTTTCATCCTTAAATCCTTTTGTCTATCGCCTCGATTTAAAAGCCTATTAATCCTACGGTTGTGATTTCATTAACTGTCTTACATTCATGGGCCAAATAACAGTCGAATCTCCATCCAATAGACGCTTAGCTATAATGGAATTTGCAGCATCAGATGGATGGTATGGATCCCAGAAAACATACTTAGATCTTTCTGCACAAACTTTTGATGGTGGACCACATGGTATAAGTCCCCCATATCGACCAGCAACATAGCAGCAAGCAGAATTTGCATTCTCAAATCCTGCACACAAATGTGAGCATTAGCATGTTTACATGAACTTTGTGTCGACGTTTGAATCACTTCATCTTAGAACTTAAGTTTTGTAAGTGCTTGTCGTGCAAAATTTCCGAAATGGATGATGGCTAAACAACCAGACACGAACCCAACTTAGGATATGCTTTATTTAATCAGAATCGCGTAAAAACTAGCTTGAAAAATAATTATTTTTTCTTACCATATGATTGGTAGTTCTGAATAATATCCCCAACTATGTGGTATACATCTGCATAAATGAAATTTGATCCTTGAAGATTTGTATTCAACTCTGTTACAAGGCCCCTCAATTGGCTGTTATACATTTCTGCAAGTTGATTGGGAAAAGCCACACAATTATCCCCTGCAGATGGATTTATCTCCCTTTGATATGGGATACACCCAATAGGCCCCACATTTGCCACAATTATTTTTCTAGCGCCCAAATCATGTAGCCTCTGGAAAAATTAAAATGAAATGTTGACCAATCCCATTGTAAAGGATAATCAATAATGACAACTAGACTGCTAAGTCAGTTCACATTTTGATGGAATTACCAAAATTGTCAGGAATATTTAAGTTCAAGAATCAAGATCCAATTGTAAGTTCACTACAAAGTGATGTTTAGTGAAATTTCGTAATAAGTTGTGTGATTACTAGTGAATTTAACCCTTCACAAACTGACACGAACGAAAAAGAAGCTTAATTCTTGTTGATAATGCTATGCATACCAAACACGCCAATAGTGTTTTAACAGAGAGTTTACCGTGAGTTGAATCCTGAATCTTGAAATCAAGGCTCCCACAAAAGATTCTGGTGTGACTAATTTTTGCTCAAGCTTTGAAAGAACTGGTGTTAGGTAATTGTTGATGAAATCATTCGAACCAATTGTAACAGAAAATAAGGCATTTTCGAGCAGTTTCATTGCTGCTTGACTTCCTATTCTGGAGATAACGTCCTGCCTTGTATTTGCAAAATTGTCCATCTGCGCGTCCAAGTTAATTCTACCTCCCTGCAGACATAATACACTTTGTTTTAGCGATGATACTACAATGAGACAACTAGAGATCATATCTACTCTCGACTAAGGGTGTAAAATGGGACACAGCCACTTTTTCTGGGATGCCCGTGTATGGACCAATTGATGATGCAAGCTAGTCCGGCCTCAAAAGTGGCACTGGCCCACTTTACCAGGTCGCGTAGTAGGCCAAGTCTGACCCTTTTTACACCCATATCCTCGAGTGATTCATGACCGTTGTTGAAGTTACCACGATGATGGGATTGGTAATAGTAGAACAACCTCTCGTGGACATAGTAAAATAGTTTGTAGGGAACACAAGTACGAAGAAATGTTCAAGAAAGCAACTCAAAAAACAATGGTACTTACAAAAATCTTTCCAGTGTAATTCAGAATTCCTCCTCCACCAGAAGCATAATTGACACCTTGCAGAACCTCATCTCCAGCTGTGGTTGGTGCCAAGTATGGTGGAGTAAAATCCTTTAAACCTAATTCCTGCCCTGCTTATGAAAAGTGACATAAAAATTATAATACAAGTTTCATACAAGGATTTGGAGAAACTGAAGCATTCAGGTATTGATAGCTTAAATTTTTAGACAGGTCGATAAGACAGAATGAGTAGAAAGCTTGCCTATAATGTCGACAATTGTTCTTCCATTCGTGTATCTCCCTGTTGGATTCCCAAAATCAATTCCATTTGGGACATAATTGGCTTTTGAAAGGGATGCAATGTAGTTGTTGTTCCCAACATCAACTAAAGAATCTCCAAAAACGAAATTTGCAGGAATATTTCCTGCCAAACTCATCTCCAAAAATACCAAGATCGTCGAAAGTTGCAACAAAATGGTAGTGAAAACTGTCCTGCTCGATAGATTTTCCATTGAAAATTCCCAGACGAGAACAGAGTGCAATGGATAGTTTCTGCCTTCTGAAAAATGGCTAAAATTCAAGTAAAGAAAAAAATGAAGTATTCACGAAAAGGGATTTAAGCTGATTTTCATAAGCTATAGTTCGAAAATGAGCCAATCATCCGTTGATACTTTCAGCTTCTCTGTAAAATAAGCTGTAATATATATACACAAAACTAAAAGAACCTTCCTACTATGGGTACTTCAGACTTAATCATGCAGACAAGAAAATGAAATTTAAAAGCAAGGTTGGATGGCATAAAAAAAGGGTTAGGTATAAGTTATTCAAGAAAACTCATTGAATGCTGAGCAGAAAGAGCACCAACTATAGAGAAATACACCATTTTGGAGCTAAATGTAGCAATTGAAAGACACGATAATGGTTTACTGCATGGCTGGAAAATATTTCGTGTTTTAGTTGCTAAGAAACTGTTAATAAATCTAGCATTAAATGAAGGAGTCGTCGAACCTTGAATTTGTCGGGGATAATTTGTTGTTATTTCTATTAGACAGCTCAAATTTTATAGGAAACGGTCCAGCAGTGTTTATGTTTGCTATTCGAAAAACATTAATATTTTCAACTGCCCACAGACCTAACAAGCCTAAGAATCTTCTGAAAATACAAAGCCATATGTAAGATTTAATGCAGTGGCTTGCAATGGAATTCAAAGTCATTTATTGTTGGCAGTGGACAGACCCTTTTTGTTTGTTGCCAGAAATGTAAATTAATTTACTGTTAACTAACCAGAAATACGAGTATGGGAAAAAGACTTTGATTGCTAGCTTGCGATCATGTTTTGTGGTTGAGTCGTTGAGATTTTCTTGTGGCACGTCTTCTCCAATGTCACATGGATGGATGGTATCAGTTGAGTTCAATCGACTGCCACATCGAAAAACCCGGGTCAAGTTTATAAATGATCCATCTGCTTTCAAAGATCATATAATTATTTTCCTCAATTAGTGTAACTCCTATATTGCCAATCATATATTATTTATTCTAGTATGATCAAATATCAATCTTATGTTGGCATTTTACTACATTCGTCTTATGAATTTTTTTTAAAAAATTTGTCATCACGTAGAATCCTATAACACTTCTTTATCTTATTCTTCATTCTCTAATACTATGCATTTTTCTTTCTTTGAATAAATTTTTTTCTACCATCACAAACTCCTGCTGTGCATTTTTGGACCTTATCACATCAAATCTAAAGAAATAGGACGTATAAGATTGCCAAAGTCTTTTATGAACAATTATTTTTTGGATAAAAGACAATCTTAGGGATATCAATGGGCCAAGTTGGAATGGCTCCCCCAACTATTGAGCTCGGCTCGTTTCACATTGGGACGAGCTGAGCACGAGCCAACTTGCATGAAATTTTTCGGCTCAAGTTACCCCTCGAGTTCGCATATGGTTGAAAAAAAAATTAATGATAAAAAACAACACATTTAACAAGCTTGGTGGCCCTAAAAAGGCCTGCCAATAACTTGGCTCACCTCATGAGCTGCCTTGCGAGCCAATACGCAATACGCCGACATTAACTTGATACCCAATACGCCAACAAGGATAAAATCACACTTTTTTCTAAAGCGATTTCACACTACAAGTATAATAAAAAGTGTATTTCCCTTTAGATGGTATACTAGGTGTCAAAGCCAGTGTTCTAAAAAGCGTGCTTAGGTGCGAGACGCAAGAGAAATGCTACACCTTAACAATAAGCGCGAAATCAAGTAGTCAACTGTCAAGTTGACCGCTTAATGTGCACCTAGACGCACTTTATTAGTTTTTTTTTTTTTTTTTTTTTTTTTATTTTTATTATTAAATAATTTTTTGAATGATTTAAAAATTTAAATAATTTTAAATATAAGAAACTTTTTTTTATTGTATGTATTATTTTAATTATTAAATAATTTTTAGAATGATTAAAAAATTAAAATAATATTAAATATAAGAAACTTTTTTTTATGCCTAGGCATCGCTTAAGTTCGTAAAGCTTGAAATTTGACATTCACGCTTAGTCATGTTTTACGCTTTTTAGATTACTTGTCAAAGTAACTTTAGATATGATGTCCCATCATGAATTTATTGTTCGTGGAGGACATCCTTAGTAATTTAGATGAATAAAGCCAGTTGTACAATTTTTGTTGACAAGTAATTTGACAACCTAGGTGTTCTCAAGATCTCGACCATCAATTTCAAAAAAGTTTTTAAAAATGAATAGATGTGTTGATGTTTAACAAGTCACATGTTGTAAACGGGATTGTATAAGTAGCATAACTCGTTTTAGATTGATTTCTTTTTTCAATCATGCTACATGTACATTCTCTTACATTCTTTCACATGACATTATCATCCCCTTTAATTTTCCGAACAATTTTTCTCTTTTCTGCCTAGACTATGCCACGGAGGAGAGTGTAGGGGAAGATGTACACAAAAATGTACAGCTAACATAATTGTTTCTTTTTTTCAATATAGTTTATCCTTCTTGTTTAGGACTAACGAGATCTAATTTAAAACTTGACAATGTTTTTTGCACATGGCGTAAAGTCTGAAGACCATTTATCCATTTTTTGATTTTCACAATTCAGGAATTTATTATCTAATGAAATATACAATTTCTTTTGTGGTTGGATGATACGGTAGCTAGTTATATCAATAATGCTCAATGTACATTATTTGATTGACATTGTGTCTTACATTGCCTTTTTTTAAAAATTTGCGAGCGAAATAATTGTTTTTATTTTTAAAATGTTAAATGGTATTTTGCCATGTGGCACAATATAAAGAAAGGCATAAAAAATGATGTACACGTATATGATTGCTAGTTATATAGGGACCATCAACCAAAGGCTAGAGACGCGGAGCTTAGACTTCTGCCAGCCCAATAAATATTACTTTGATGTGGAAAAATAATAATTCAAGATGAAGACATCTTCATAAATGTGGCTTTAAAGTTTCGAATCAAACATTAAAAACAAGTAGGTTAAATCACTTTAGAGCATTTTCAAAAAAAACGTGAGATGCTCTCCATTTTAAAGAGTTAATATTTAAAATTATGCTCCAAAAAATTCTTTAAATTAACATTTTAATTTAGAAAGTGAGTTCAACTCTTCAAATTTGGAGAGTCAAACTCACTCTCTATAATTAAATGTATTCAAAGTGTTTTAATTTTCAATGTAGTAAAACAATAAAATAATCTAAAAAAGCTAGTTAAAATAAAATATAAACAAAAATAATAAATATTTTTTGGGAATAATAAAATTAAATGTTAAATATAAAGAGTTTGTTGAAATATTTCAAAATTTTAACT